GTATTGTTTTTTTTGAGCACTCCATACAATGAGGGCAACACCTGGTTGAGATAAACAACTAAAAGTCACAGGGTAAGAGTCATTCCTCTGAGCCTCGTGACAGTCACAGCTTACACTGGGATTCAGAAACACAATTCAGAGACATAGGTAAGTCTGGACCAAGACACATGACCCAGGGCCACTTTATTCTTGTTCTTAAATGCCAATTATTAAAAATTCCAAGTTAGCTGAGCACATCTATAACAGAAGCTTGTTAAGGCTCAGTGAACACAGTACAAAGCAGCACAGCACAAAGCATGAGCTTGCTAGCAGTGACCAAAAAAAAAAAAAAAAAAAAAAAATTCTAGCCAGCAAGAGTCAGTTAGCAAACTAAAGCAAGAGGAAAGCCTTGCAGTGGTAGTGGTCATCTCCTAGACCCTCTGCTTGTTGCATCAAGTGTTTAGTCATCCCCAGAGGAGAGGTTGAACGCCTTACCCAAAACTTGGTTTAGGTGTTAAGACTGATATTATATTAGGACCAAATAGATACGAAAAGGTTTATCACTCACACGAGGCTTTTATGGAGAGCAGCGTGAGTTCTCAAGCAGGTTCAGAAATGGCTTGAGCAGGGAAAGTAGAGGATCCTGGCTTTTCCTAATGGCTTGGAGGTAGGGCTGCAGTGAGGATTCTTAGGTGGTTTGAACTTCCACTGGCCACAAAGGTGGAAGCATTTGAGCTTTTTTACTGGCATGTCTAGATATGGGGCAGAAGGGGGAATAGTAGGTTTTAAAAACTCAGCCAGTCAGACATCAACAAATGAGTCTGATTGCACTACAAAGTTGTACTAAGATTATAGCACTTATTTGGCATAGGCTTCTCAGGGGAGAAAAATTCAGTATTATTTCAGAATTTTTCAAAGACAGAAAATGTATTTCTGAGACAATGCCAATCAGTGATTCCCCATCAGGAGAGATATTAGAATACTGAAGGGATGCATTTTCCAACTATGCCTTTGTCCTCCACCCTCAGGATTCCAAGGAGATTCTGATCCATACCCTACCACCTCTGTTAAGTATGAAGCCTCACTGAGCCATGGGTACTGTTGGCAGTAAGTCATATATAGTAGGGCAGAAAAAAAGAGAACCATTTGAATTATTACTTAACCACTTTAGACCTTTGAATTTCTTTAATATCCCCGCATTCTGGGGTGGTTTTAACTTCTGGCACCAACTTCTCACTCTTCATCCTAATCTTGTATCTTTGTTCACGATATTCCCTTTACTTTTAAGGCCCTTCAGCAACCAGATCTTCTCAACTAGAAACAGTCTTTGCTCAAACACTTAGCACTCCATTTCTATCCTGTTACCATTTATCTTACTCTCTAATTTTATTATTTGTTTACATACCTTATCTCTGCAGCCAGACCACAAGCTACTTGACTGCAAAATTCATGACTGTTTTTCTTTGCATTCATTACTCATATAAGTATTGCTAATAATAATAAAGGGTAGATGTCTTATGTATGTTCAATGAGTGAGTGAATAAATGGAATCTCAGATTTTGATATTCTTTGACAATATGCAATGCCATTATAGTTATAACTAGGTAAACTGGGTAAATCACCAAAATAAAATCCTGGTTTTGTTTGTATAGGGAAAACATGCATTTGACTTATATACATTCACACACACTCTTCATGGTTTCAATAAAGATTTCAGGAGTTAGTAAATAATTTTCCTTTGGGGTTGCAGGGGTGAGACTTTCCCTTACCAGTTTCATATCATCTTTATATCATAAAAATGAGGTAACTTTCAGATATATTTGGTTTACTGTAATTTCAAAAACACTTTTTAGTCTGCCAAAAGGCATTTATATATCCATCATCTCTTCACAATACTGCAATAAAATGTGAAACAGAGTCATTACTAATGAGAAAACAGACTGAGAGGTTAAATGACTTAATGGTCATACAGCTAATAATTGAGGGAAACAGGACTAAACTCAGGACTCCCTGCTTACAAAGCTCAAGCTTTAACCACTTAACAGGGAGATTTGTGGCTTACTTTTATAATTATTTGAGTTAATAAATGTTGACCTAGAGAAAAAATTCTTTGAAGCTAGCCATCTAAAGAAATAGCTAAACATGCATGTTTCTAAGGTTTTAAAAAAATTTTCATCTCTATGTGTGCATGTATATATATATACTTAGATGTATGTACTACATTCGTGCATATATATATATAAAATCTTTTAAAAAATCTTGGCTGTATTTACCCCTCAAGAGCCAAGATGTCATCTTAATTACTTTAATCAAATGATCAGACTTTAGGATTTATGTGCAGCTTTCCTAATGGGATACATTGCTGTGACTGAGTATTGCTTCTGCCCCTCCAGCAATCCCACTCTTCCTCCAACAGGCTTTTCAATTAAGAGGCCAAGAAGTGCTGAACATGCTACTGCATCACCAATAATCTCCCTGACTTTCACTTGAATGTGTATCAGCTCACCATGAAGGAGAGGATGCTTTTGCCCCCTACAATGGAAGTCACACATTTTCTGAACTAGGTGCTTTTATATATACTGTCCCATTTATATATTTTAATTCTCACAACAGTCCTTTAAAACATAAACTGTCATTCATTTTTTTACCAAGGAAAACTCTAGCTCAGCAGGGTGACAATAGCTAAGTTACACAAAGTCACAACAGCTGAGGAAGGGAAGCAATTATATCAAGTTGGGGATCTAATGTAAACAAAACACATTCATAACAAAGATTATGCAAAAACATTGGGGGGAAACTCAACAATTTCATTGGTTAACAAATTAATTAAAATCATAGAGCTAGAAGGGATTTTGGTGACGTACCAACACCCTTATTTAAATTAACAGATAGGGAAATTGAGGCTCAGAGGTATGATCACCTGAGGTCATACAGCTAGTTAAAATGCAGAGCTGTGATTCAGACACAAGCCTGACTTGAAGTCCAGTGATCGTCTCACTACAGTACAATGCCAGACGCAGAGTTGGCTCACTAACTTCAGACTTAGCTTGGGTTCCATGAATATTAATGATATTGACAAGATAAAGCCATAGGTCTGGAGTCTAAGTGTATATTTTGCTACACAGCCTTCTACCTCACTGCTGTCCTGCTTGTAAAATTCATCCAGGAATCTGTTTCATATCCATAATTTGTTTTGAGATGCCTTGAGGGGCTGCACGTCCTGAGTGCAAATCGGCATCCTAGTCAAGTGCAGGGTGGAGACCTGAGTCTCATCCTAGGTTCTCTTCCACTTCCCTCCTCCAGAGTAGAGTAACATTTCACTTTTAAGAGACCATTAATTAGCACTAGATTAAAAGTACAACTACTTAAGCATTACTTGCCTTACCCAGAGGAACACTGTAAAGCTCAAGCCACGTTTATTCTACTGATTGGAATAACAGAGTGCCCCTCTGCAGACTCAAGACTGGCCCACAGTAGGCAGTTAATAAATATTGAATGAATCATTGCTCCAAAACCTTAAATTCTATGTAACCACTCAGAATGATAAAGGGAGGAGGGGCTTAACCAAACTCTAAGTCAATTGTTTGCCACTAGGTTTTTACACACCTTATAAAAGGACTTGTCTGAGTATTCCTTTTTATCTAATCTAAGGGGGCTACACTAGGAAGACTCAGGTTATTGGAGTCCCATTAAGTCAGGTAAATACCTGGACCAATTAAATAACTGAGAACATATTCTATACTAGGCACCATGTTACATGGTGGTTGGTGTTGCAGGGGTTAGACTTTCCCTAGATTAGTTAGCCCTCAATAAAGCTCAAATATATGGACAGATAATTGCAACACAGTGATTTATATACTAGGAATATGAAATAGACAGTAGAAAGGAACAGATGAACTCGATACTTGGAGACTTGTAAGGGGAAAGAAATGCCTGAGAAAGGTTTTAATCACCAAATAGAAACCTGTTAAGCAAGAAGGAAGGAACTGTTTAGCTTGGTTGGACCACTTCCCACCACCAGGTGCTCTTTTGAGCAACTAGATAAAAGAATAACAGTCATCATTTATTGAATATTCCAGGAATGAAACCAGGTTATTTTCACATCTGTTATCTCATACCCTTCTAGGAGGCAGGGATCATTTTTGTTATTTTCCAGAAGAGGAAGAGTTAAATGACTTGCCCAAGGCCACATGACTAATAAGACAGAACTATAAGGTAAGCAATGCAGTAGTTCAGTGGTTTTCAGAAAAGTATTCTATAGATTCACAAGTTTTGCAATGGTAGCACAAGAGGTAAGGTAAAGGGAGGAAACAGCATATTCTTCAGCGGCACAAACCTGCTTCAATCAGAGCAGCTGCTCTTTGATCTATTTTACATGATAGACTTCCATATAAGACTTTATTTGGACAAGGGTACTGCTGCTTTAAAAAACAACAACAACAAAAACTGCTGTAATTGAACAAATTAGTTTCCTGGGGCCCTAGTCTGCAATTTAGTCAACACAGCAGATAATTAAACATTGACTGTACTAAGCACAGCCTAACACATTCACATCAAAGGGGAAAAAGAAAAAACACTTAGATCACACTTCCATTTTGAGCTAACAGATACCTGCTTTACTTGAGGGAAAAGGCATGACTGGTTTAGATGGGTAGAGATCTAAATGTTGAATGTCACTCAGTGATAGCACCTCTTTCAAAAGCACGGACAGCTGGAGGATTCCTGGCCTCATTTACCTCCAGCCAGCCCACAATATTATATTTATTCCTCCACTGCAAACAGTGTGCCAAAGGCCCGAGCCACTGTTTGTTATTACCTCAGCAAGTCCCCCACTGACAGCAAAGACAGATCTCCTGCTGCTGGGTGCCCACACAGATAAAGTGGCTCTAATAACTAGTGAAGTCATTTGTGATGCACTTTTAATTGGATCAGTTTCCTCTCAATTACCCAATCTTTGAAAATCGGAGGCAATTTCATAATCAGAATATGGGGCTTTCTCCAGATGAAAAGAACAAGACAAACTAGTTCAACATCATTTTAGTGACCTCTTTACCTATCCTTTGGCAGCTATTACGATACAAGCCAAAGAAACACTACTACCATACAAACAATTTTGAGCAGCTCAGTTTAGCAAATTTTGTTTACATGAAAGCAAGGGAGTTGCTCTTTGGCTTGCCATCAGCCCTGCACCTAGAGTAAGATATATTGCTTAGTAAACACTGAAGCCTCAGAAACCTCATCACAGGTTCTCTCACCCACTTCTGATCTCAAAAACAAGACTAAATTCCTTTTTGTGAGCTGTAATTATAAACATAAAACATATAGCAGAAGCTCAATTTAGAATAGGGTATTGGCGACTCTAAACCTTGGGGGATGATTCTGTACATATGTATTTGGGAGAAAGATTTGTTATTATCTTTACATAACAGTGCTTTTGGCTGAATTTTGACGTGGTTAGATACCTACACTTTCAAAGAACACAGTGAGATAAGGAAGTAAAATGGCATAGCGCAGGTTATCCCTCTTATCATCTCCAAAATTCCATATTTAATTAAAAGACATGAACACCAGTGATGAAGAAACAGTTCTCAATTATTTAATGCTTGATAGAGAAATGGAAAGAAATCCTGAAACCAAATAGTATGTACTCACTTGAGGAAAATACAGAATAACAAACCAACAGTTTTGCTGTTTGTTTTAGTAATGAACATGAAAATGTGTCCACCTCTCCATTTTGTTGGCCCTGGCCTATGCTGTACAATTCCTTAGACACAGGCCAGAAGAGAGAGGTAGTATGAAAAACGATGAGCCCTAGAGACTATCCAAGTTTGCTGACTATATCAGCATTTGTTTGCTTATTCCTAGCTTCCTATGCTTTGGCATAATTCCAATCCATATTATGCTTCTTTAAAAGGCAAGCAATTTCCAGGCTGAAGTCGTCAATACCAACCAACTAGGGTCAATCCATTCTGTCACATCTGCAGTTCTCAATCCAAGATGGCACAGATCCTCCAGGCGAGAGGTACTGCTTCCTAAAGGGCCTGTGTATCCCCTTTGGTAGCACTAAATGAATGAGCTTTCACACTGGTAAAGACGATCAGACTGAGACATAATGTTACAGGAATATGTCTGAAATGTCACTGAAAGGTGGAGCAGATCCCACTGAAGCATGCACAGTGAATCCAATCAGAGTTGAAGAGAAAGTGTCACAGATGAAGCACATTATAATAGGAAGGAAACAATGGATCAAGGGCATCAGAGCCAAACGGGAAAAAATCAAGGATTTAATACAAGGGCAAATTTCAAACATGGCACAAAGGGCTAAAGTGGCTCTCTCTACTAAAGCCTTGGAAGTGCCTAATTGCTAATCAAACTTCAGCTAACACCATTGCATGTCCTATTTGGGCAGTGCATCTTTTAAAGCTCTAAATTTAGGTGGGAAGTGGGGAGGGGGAAATAACAAATAAAAAACATAAAAAGATGGAGCTTCTAAAGTTCTAGAACTACCCAGCTGGAATCAGGACATATGCCGAGTCTATTCTATATGTGCCACTAACAACCAAGAACTATGGGAAGGGAAGCTGGCTTGGGAGCAGAAGAAAATGATATTTCTTATCCCCTATGGGGTGGAGTATCTTCTCAGATGGTAGCTGTAGATCTTGATGCAATGATCCCAACAGTCCAAGACCAGCAGCTGCCCCTTAGGAGTGAGGGCTATGCCCACCGGACAAGTAAGTCCCTCTCGAATAAGGACACTATAGCCCCCACCCTTAGGAAAATGGAGAATTTCCTTGCGACTACTGTCAGCCACAATGAGATCACCACGAGCATCCACACACATGCCAGCAATGCAGCGGAAATCCTCATTCTCCGAGAAGAAGTGGCTAATCTGGCGACCCAGCTGCCCATCGGGGCCTACAGAACCAATGGAAAAGCCACCTTCCAGGTGGTGCTCATTCTGTCGATTCTCCAGATTGAGGCCTAAGCCCTGGGTGAAGTAGACGGTGCCCTCAGCATCACAGGTGACAAATTTGGGCCGCACAGCACTGCACAGGCAGCTGTATTTGACCACCCCTGATCCTCGATCAACTGTGAAACACCAAAGCTTTCCACCTTCCACATCGGTTACTACAAACTGGCCAGATGGCAGGGCTGTGATACCCCATGGTTTGCTCAGCTGGCTCCTGTGACAGGCCACACAGTGGCCATCCAAGGTATATACCTTGAGGGAGTTATCATAGCTGTCAGTCACACCAATCAGCCCCTGGCAGTTCATTGCCACTGAGAGAGGAGTGAGGTTGGGTAGATCCGCCCCAAGAAAGCTTAGCACAAAGCTATCAATGCCACTGGGGCTGCGGCGGATTTCCTTCAAAAAGCCTTTGCGGGTAAAGACTTGTATACGATAGTTACCACGGTCAGCAACTAGCACTTCACCTTGACTGGTCACGTAGAGACTGACTGGTAGATTGAACATTCCTGGAGTGCTGCCTTTGGCCCCCATCTTCTTGAGAAAGAGGCACTGCTGGATATTGGAGGCTGCCTCAGGACCCCGCTGTTTAGCAGGTGAGGCCCTAGGGCTGGCAACCACTTCCTCCGGGCTCATGTCCATCTCTCTAAATGTAACAGAGGTAGAAGCAGCAGAGGCTGCCGCCTCCATGGCCCAGGAATCTTCCATGTTAACTGTCCGGGGCTTCTTAACAGCTTGCCCAATTTGGAGGGGGCCAACATGACCTACCTTAAGGAGCTCCACATCTTGCAGGGTGAGCTCCCGAGGTAAGCTGGCAGTAAGCTCTGGCTCCTCCTCATCAGCTGTCTCCTCCAGTAGTGCTACATCTGCTTGCTTGATCTTGGCCAGGAAGTAGTCACAGCGAGACACAGCCTGCACCTCTGCAATGTTAAGAAGGTAACTCTGCTCCTCTACCACTTGACTATTGGACTTCTCAACTTCAGCCAAAGAGCCTGTGAAGAACTTCCGAGAGCGAGCCAGCTCATCCTGGACCCTGCGTTCCTCGTGTCCATACTCCTGGAGAACTGCTTTATACCTTGCCTGAAGGTCCTTGGAGACACCTTCCAAGGCTACCTTCCGCCGCTGCAGCTCCCCCATAAGTTCCCGCAGACGAGTCAACTTCTCTCCAAAGTCCCGACGCCGCTCCTCAGCGGCTTCTTTGACAGGGAGTGTACAGTGGCCAGGAGGCTGATGGTCTGCCTCCCGGCAGGGCTCACATAACACCAAACCACAGCTCCGGCAGAACTGCCGGGGCAGACGCCGCCCACAGGACCGACACATGAGCAGCCCCACAGCCTCGCTGAGCCCAGCTGTATCAATGATCTTTAGCACTGTCAGATTGTCTGTCAGCTGGGTCAAGCTGGTTATGCGGGTAATCTTGCTGCAAAAGGGACAGCGGACACCATTGATGCTACTGGCCAATAGCTTCTCCAGGCACTGGCGGCAGATGGTATGGCCACAGTGCAGGAGCTTGGGACGCAGCTGCTCTTCTGTGAAGGACTCCATGCAGATGGGGCATTCTAGCACTTCCCGGAGGGCATCCAGGTTCAGGTGAGAAGCTGCTGCTGCAGCCATTGCTCTTCCTTTGAAGGGTACTGCTAGCACAGCTCAGAACTGAACAGCACAGTATTCATGCCCTAGAGGGTAAAATTCCTGCTAAAGAGAAAAAGAAACCATTATTCATTTTCCTCTGATTATATAAATCAATTCACTCAAGAAACATTTAGAGAATAGCTATGACCAGTCGTTCAGTCATTCACTTACTTAACTATTTTATTGAGGTCTATTATGTGTCATGCGAGGGTGACAGGGAAACAAACAAGACAAAACACTGCATAGAGGGTAATAATTCAGATTCTGGAATCTCAGACACTTACTTAGTTGCATGACCATAAGGAAGTAACTCAAACTTCCAAAAGCTCTTTCCCCATCACTCATCTGTAAAATAGAAAAATGGTGTCTACCTTATTCTATTATTGTAGAACAATCTATTATTGTAGAATAATGGTTATTGTAAGGGCTAAATAACAAGATAAATATGATGTGCTTAGTATATAGCACCAGGGAAGTAGTATACTTTAATAAATGCTAATGATTACTTTCATATTTGGTGAGTTTTACAACTTACTATTTACACTAACAGAAAAGCACAGGAGAATTATGCACAGTAAAAGGAGTAAGTGTGACATGCAGGTCCACATAATGTTCTGCTGGAGTACAGTGGATGGAATGATAGATTCCACCTAACAGACTTGGGGAAGGCTTCCCAAAAGCAGTTTCACTCCTAAAGTAAAGAAATGAAGGACTGAGGGATAAAGGTACTTTAAGCAAAGAAAACCATGTAAGCAAAAGTGTGGAGGCTATTTTTTTTTTTTTTCATCATGTCATAGAGTTTACTGTGTCATGTTTGGGGCCCTAGGAATCATCCACAGACTTAGAAAATTGTGATGATTAGCTTTAGGTAATCTGCAAAACATTAGATCAGAAAATACACATTTTCCATGCATCTATCCTCCTACCTACTCATCTACCCACCCATCTAAGTTTAGGTATCTTGTTCTGTACTAGATACAAGAGGTCTTCAGGATACAGATCTTGCTCTTCAGATATTCAAACTTTATAAAAGACAAGACATGTAGGCAAATAATAATGAAGGCAGAAAGTAGTACTAGAAATGAAATAAAAACTAAGTTTGATGGGGGTTGAGGAGTCATTCTAATTTGAAGGGACACAGAATTTTCAAAAGGAAGATGACATTTTATATTGGCCTGGAAAGAAGCATAAACACACAGAGAGGGAAGAAAGAAGCAGGCAAAAGGCACAACCTTAACAAAGTTTAAAAGACAAACGAAAGGACAAGAAGTTTCATGTATTAGGAAGAAAACAGAGAATATTTAAAATCTATGCATTTTATTTTCTCCATCTTTAAAATGGAAATAATACTGTCTTTACAGAGTTAATGTAAGAATTAAATAATCTCTAGAGTATATAGAATGCTAAGATTTGGCTCTGCACAAAAAAAGCCTTAAATGAATTTTAGTTCTCTTTTTTATTATCCTTAGATTAAAACAGTGGGAGTATATATGGGGAATAGAGTAACAGGCTTGGAAAGGTAAATTGGGGGAATAATTATAAAAGGTCTTAAGAGCCAAAATGAGATTTTTGAGCTTCATTTTCAAAGGCATGGTGAGGCGATAAATGTTTTGAAGCAGGAAGCTGATATGATCAAAGCAGGAATGCAGTGGGGAAACAAATCAGAGAAGACAGGGGTAATGGGGAGTCTGAACTAGGGAGCAGGTGGTGGAAATGAAAAGATTCATTTGAGCAATATCCAGAAGTATAATCAGTAAGATTTGAAAGGTGAGTGGATTATAGTGGGGGAGTGATGAACAGCTGAGATAGCCAAAGACTCAAGCCTAGATGATTTAAAAAATAGCAGTGCCTTATCAAGATAGTTTATTTCTGGCTTACAGTACCCTCTGCTTCATCCAGTACAAACCATGAACACTCCAACCCTCTTGATATACATATGCTTATGAAGTTGACCCAGAGAGATCTCAGTGCTCTGTAGCCTTAGGTTACTGTCAACTTATACCCCAAACCAGAACGAATAGGTCTAGCAAGTTGAGGCACATGATAAAGTTAGCATTTCATAAATGCAAATCCTACAGCTGTACCTGTGCAGTCTTGTGATCTGCAGATGGTCAACCACTAAGGAGAAGGAGGAAGTGGAGGGCAAGTTCGTTGGATTTTAAGGACAATGCATTTAGCTCAAGAACACTTTGCACATGACATCAACTCTTTCTCCAGGCATAGAGAAGAACGGGAGTTAATGTAGAGATATATATTACCATAAGTTTCTACTATATTAGCTTTGGAGTGCAATCTGACAAATATATAGCAGCAGACATGCACAATTATCTAAAGTCAATTCTTCCTCCCTGATATCCCACTTCCTTTGTATTACAAGGGAAACTATGCATCTAGTGCCTACTATGTGCTAGTTACTGTGACAGATACTTTATATGCTTAACCTCTTTTAATCTTCATGATGACATTATGAAGTAGGTAATATTTTTATTATCCTATTTTACAGATGAGGAAACGAATACTCAGAAAAACTTGCTCAAGGTCAGGCAGTTCAAACATGGTAGAACCTTGCAGTACAGATATTTTTACTTTATTTAACCTAACATTATTTCAAGCTATTTTTTACTGTCACATAACAATGATTAACTAATGTTCTCTTGACCATACTCTGGGGAATGCTGCCTTATGGCATATGCATTTTCTCCATAACAGAGAAGGAACACTAATATAGTTATGAGATTCTGCTGCTATAGAGTGGGATAGATTGATTTATTAGCTGAGTGACCTACTCTCACAGAGCAAGCTTGCAATCCCTTCTGACTCAAATCCATATCTCAGCAAAACAGTATTTACCACATATCATAAGCATATGAGGTCTGATGTGGATATCTGAAACTATGAATGGTAAATTCTTAAATGCCAAGTGTCTAGGGGCAATAGTATAGACAAGAGTGATAGAAATTACAATTCAGGATCCATGCAACCCTTCTAAATTCTAAATCAATAGCTACAGTTCTCTCTTCTATTGTCTGGGACAACAGACTGAGGACAACATTTGGAGTCTGAATCTAGAACATTACCTTACAATGCACAGGGACATCTGTGTTCTTCCCAGAGCTGGCAATGCAGATCAGTTTATTAGACAAGGCTGCCAACTTGTAAAAATAGCAGCAAATTATTTCCCCAGCTTTCTGGAATATCATATTTCTCCTATTGAAAAGCTTCCTACCTCTCTAAGACATAAGGTTAAAAAAAACGAATTTACTATGCCCACATCCCCAAATTATCTCAACTGACTACAGCTTCACCAAGCTCTCTGAGGATGTCAACAATTCCTGCCCCAAAGCTGCCATGCTTTGCCAGGAAAACCTGTGTTCCCTTCACGAAAGCATAGGGCACGGATATAGCCTCAAACCTGGAAAAAGCCAGAACCACTTTTCCCATTTCCATGACTTGAAAACATGGCTTTGTGAAGGATCCTAGCCTGAAATGGAGCTAAGAGACAGGCAGATACAGCCTGTCTCCTCCAGAAGGGCACATCTGGTCATTACTGTTAATACCAAGAATGACTCAGATAGAAGGTCAATTAGACTTCAGTTTCCCCAAAAGGCTACACAAATAAAAGGAATTGTTTTATCATTCCAAATCTTTAAGTAAGCTGCCCATTTTCTGCCAGCTATCAACTCTGCAACCAATCAGAGTGAGTATCCAACATGCTATGTATCATCTTGGCTCCCTTCATGATCCCTTGAAGGTCTGTTTCCTGTTGTGCACTTTGTCCCATTAATTCTTGACCTCCCACCTCATCTAACATCAGCTTACCATCTTCTCACAACCCTTGACCTAATGATTAATACTGTACATACCGTACCATACTGTACTAGCACATCTCTTCAGTTCCCAATGAGAATCTATCCCTTAAGCTGTGTCTACTCTGGCTGCCCTAAGACTCAGAAAAATTACATAATCATATTCCATATTAATCTAGCCTCTTCTAGCACCACTGGGTTTTCCCCATTCCAAGAAATGAGTAACTAAGGTAGTAGAAAAAGCAAACAAACCAAAAAAATGAACCTTGAAGTTATATAGAACTGAGATCATATCTTAGCACTGTCACAAGTTGTGGGGAAGAAGGCAATTTATTTAACCTGTCTAAACCTGCTTTTTTAATTTATAAAAAGAGTACTGTAATGACTATGGATTTTATGCATATAAAGTACTTAGCCTGATACCTGTAGGTGTACAATAAAAGGATGCTAAATAAATAATAACCAGAAACAGCATTAACAATAACTGTACTAGTATTAATAACACATTCAGTTTACAAACTACATTTTGAAAGCATGAAGAAACTTTCCTTTCATGGCATACAAAGGCACATAAAGATTAATAAAAGGGCTTGTCAGTTTTGAAGAGTTTTAATTGAGTATGCTAGACATCCAGGCTAAAAACTGATGGGTAAATGAATTTACAACTTCTATTGCACAGAAAATGAGCTGCTGTAGCTCCTTCAAGCACAGACTAAGTATGAAATGCTAGAATTTGCAGCAATCTCCTCACCTGAGACCAGCAGGTGGAGGTTGCAGTGAGCTGTGATGCTGCTGCTGTACTTCAGCCTGGGCAAAAGGGGAAGGAAAGGTAGTAATCTCAAGTTGTAAAATAGATGAGAAAACTAAGACCAGGAGGGGGATATTAAGACCACAAATCACACAACAGAACTAGGACTAAAAGACACGAACTAGGAGTGGGCAGTATTATATAGATTAAGGAAGTAGGCCTGAGGGATCAGGCTTTCCTGGATTTGAATTCAAGCTCTACCACTTATTGTGAAGACATGGGCAAGTTATTAATACTTCTGTAGTTCTCAGTGTATCTATGAAAAGAGGCTTTAAAATAGTCTCTTCCTCACAAGGTTATTGTAAAGATTAAATGAGATTACGTGTGAAAAGCAGTAAGTACAGTACCAAGCCAGGCATGCAATTAACTATAAATAAATAATAGTTTTTATTATTAGCAGTAGTAATAATAGGTTTCTTCTAATAGGTTTCTTCAACCTATTAGAAGAAATGAATAGGCACTTTTCAGCAGACTGTACTCAAGGCCTCAGATACATATACTTAAACAATAAAAATTCTGAGCCCTCCTAGAAATTGTTTTACCTGATCCGAGAATCTAAAGATTACAGATGATCTAAGGTTTCAAATCTTCATCTAATGCTTGAATCGCCACCATGGGGTAGTTCTCTAGATGTCTCTATTTCCTATACCTATATCAGCCTTTGGTGGTTTAGGACACAAGCAAAACTGGAGAACTTTAAGCAATTAACAAAACAAATCTTTACTAAGCACCTACTATGTGTCTGGCCCTGTGAACGGTACTGGTGATACAATTTTGAGCAAAAACAGACATAAACAGTGCTTTCCCCTAAAAACTAGACAACATGTAAAATATTGCATTTCCTTTCACAAGACATAAAAGTCCATCCTACTATTGACATGCTCCCCTGGTTTGACCGGTTTTTTTGCAAGGTTTATCTCATTTCCTTTTATGTCAGCTTTCTAAACTTTATTCCTCATGCATTCTAACAGAATGCTAATCAAGTGCAAAACTATCCCTGTGCCACCAAAGGCCACTCATTAACAGGACTGATTTTAAAGAAGTCAGTGAGGCCACCACCTGACATCCACTCCTGTGTGTGGGAGAGGATTCTGATTAAGTTTAGATTACTAAGGGCATTTAAGGCACCTGCAGACAACTAAGATAAACTCAACAAGTAGAGGCTTTAGGGAACACAGCCATGCTCCTGAAGTTGTACCAGTCTGGGGCAAACAAAACAATCCAGAAGGAAGTATATTTGTAGAAAAAGAAAACTTGAGCTAAACTATGTCAAGGGCAGGCTAAATGATAATAGGGTTTCCTGGAAAACATGCTTGCCTGTTGTCTCTGTCTTCCTCTAAAACTGCAGGGCCTAGAGAGACTCCCTTGCATCTTTCACAAACATCTGAGTAGTATCTACGCTGCCAATATGACTCAAGGAATACAAGACAAAGGAAAAATCAATAGCCCTTTCTCAGAGACCTCCAACTCACCTCAACCCTCGCTCTTTCAATTCCTTTCCCTGCATATAACATCTGTTCATTTAATCATGAGATTATGATTAAAGGATCAAGGAGATTCCAGGAAATATACAAAACGGGATGAGAATTTTGGGGATACTGGCAGAGACTACTTAGGGTTATCAAAATCTGGCAAAGAGCCTGGGCAACATAGTGAAACCCCATTTCTACAACAAATTAAAAAAAAATAAAAAATCAGGTGTGGTGGCATGCACCTGTGGTCCCAGGTACTTGGGAGGCTGAGATGGGAGGATCACTTGAGCCTAGGAGGTTGAGGCTGCAGTGCACTGTGACTGTACCACTCAGCCTAGGTGACACAGCAAGACCCTGTCTAAATAAATAAATCTGACAAAGCAACACTTAGTTCCCTTCCAGCACTGCCTTCCTTTAATAATTGCTAACACTCTTAAAGCAACTACTCTTTATTGTCAGGCATTTTTTTATATGTTCTCATAGTCTCATAATAACCATGTAAAGTATGTGTCATTCCTCTTCAAAAATAAGGAAACCAATGCTCAGAGAAAAGTAGCCTGTCCAAGGTCTCAAAACCAGTAAGTAATAGAGCAAGGATTCAAATCCCAGTGTCAACTCCCAGTCATAAAATTACTAACTTAAAGGATGTTTCATAGTTCCCTAGCTTTAGATAAAGTCTGGCTGAAAGTTGGTAAGGGCACCTAGAAATTATTTTTAAATTTGATTGTTTTACCAGAAAGACAAGATGGAGGGAATGTCACAAAGGTTCCACATCAGTGTGCACAGACAATGATCTACTTTAAGGGCCTTATAAACTTCTGGCTTCCAACTACTCTCCAGACATAAACATAGGGGCACTGAAGGGTTGGAAAAGCCTTCTAATAAAACTACTATAATGTAACATAGGTGTAAGACACAACTGGGTTTGTATCCCAACCTAGCCACTTGTTCTGTAGCCCCGGGTAAGTCACTTAACCTGTTATTTTTCTCATCTATAAACAAAGAATAAAACCCAGACTGTTAGCAGGATGACTGAATTCACTAAGATAACGCACATAATAAGCACTCAACAAATGATAATCATTTGCATTTTTAATAGATTGAAGCTGACAGGACAAGTGCTTGTCCAAGGTAACATGGGAAATTAGAAAGAGTAAGGAGTTTAGACAGGACTGATTGAATTCCCATGACATATTTTCTTTTAGGGATGTGCATGGATATTCCAGCTAAGTCTTGCTGTCAGATACAGTCAAATTTTGTTTCTGAACTGGCTTCAGCAATGCTGTAGCTAGTCCTGGAAATGATAGAGCCAATGCTACTATTCTGTTCCAGGGAAAAGCAGTCCAAAAGAGACCATACAGAACAGTAGTTACTCTCCTTCAAAGTATGACTGCCTTCAGCCTCAGTCCCTGCTGTGCCTTCAGCCTCAGTCCCTGCTGTGAGGTGTTTTTTCAAGCCAACGGCCTCCATACCTCACCCCATAGTCCGCTGCACCTCATCCTGCCTGATAACTTCAAGCTCCTCTCCTTATCTAGCCCCTGGTCTTGGTCTAAGAACAAACCAAGAACAAAGTCCAGGGCTCCTCCCAATCTAGTCAGAGAGATTTATCCCCCAACTTTAGAGTTCAATCTGATAGTCAGTGATACTCACTGGGCAATCCTCGTTTTCATTAGAGGGGAATGGGCTGAGAAAATAAGACTAAGCGGGTCCTAGCAAGGAAAGTGGGAAAATACAGAGTTACAGAGATCTGGGTATGAGCTTAACTGTGTCATTCCTAGCTATGAAAACTTAGGCAAGTCACTTCCTAAGCCTTAGTTTCCTCATGTGTAAAACTGAATACAGTCCTTAGAAGGACTGTCATGAAAACTGAGTAAAGAAGTAGATACAAGACTAAAAATTACTAGACTTTGAGAACTTACTATGTGCCAGATCCTAGGCATGCTAATTTACTTCACTAAATCCTCACAACAATTCTGTGACATAGGTCCTGTTATCATAACCCCATTTTACAGATGAACAGCCAAGGCACTGGGTGGTAAGTAACTCATTCAAGGCCACAAAGTCAGGAAGAGATAGAGCTAGGACTTGAACCCAGGGTATCTGATTCTAGGGCAGAGTGCCTCAACTTTGGCATTACTGACATTTTAGGCAGGATAATTCCTTACTGGGGGGGAGGGGCTTATCCCATGCATTGTCAAATGTTTAACATTAACATAAAACATTATATTTAATGTTTAATCTACCCACTTGAGGCCAGTAGTATCCCCCACCCTAAGTATGACAACCAAAAAACATCTCCAGACATTGCCTAATGTCTCCTAGGAGACAAAGCCACCCCTGATTAAGAACCACTGCTTTACAGTCTAGCACAGGACTAAATGCTCAATACATAAGGGTTCCCTTTTTTTGTTGTTGTTTGATTTTTTTTGTTTTTTTTGTCCCTCTCCGAGCCCAAACATCTCACTCACAGAGCCACTGCCCCTTCAAGCTGCAATGGATCTTATATAGGATAAATTATTCCACTCATTCCCCTGGAGTCTCACATTCTATCTGCTATGGTAGCTTGGGAGTACAAGGAAAAAGGGCTTAGGCAGATGACCTTGAATAGTTCCATTTCTTCTTCCCCAAAGCCTACCACTTTCAGTGGACCGGGGGAGGGGGAGGGAGAAGGCGGTGGTCAGAGTGTAGTTAGTGGCAGTACCATACCTGCCTTATGATAACGGATCTTTGTTTAATAAATGAAGAAGATTCTACCCTTCACAGGGATTACCACACTCCTTCAGGATATCTGAACTGAAGATTTATCACTTTGTTCCTCAACACCTGAACTCTGCTCATCTTCATATACTCATCTAGAATTTCATACATTACTTTTAGGTCCTTGGGTCCCCTAAACTCCCCCTGTCTCCCATGCAGCGATTTAAGGAAAATCTCTTTAGCAGCCCAAGACACCAATCCACGTATCTACTCAGTGTCTTTTGATTCTATAGCCCAGTTAGGACATCTCCACCCCACGATTCAATCCTCTCCAAACCCTGTCCTCAACCCTCTTACAATACCAAATTCCAATCTTTGGGGCTGTATAACGCAACCCTCATCAATTCCTCACTCATATGCCTCAAATCCCTCGGACACAGATCCTTTAATCCCTATTTCCAAATCTTTGCCGCACTCAGCTCCGCACCTCAGTTCAACGCCCTAATTCCTCACCTCAGATTTCTGCTCTCCCTCAATCTGAACCCCCATCTCCTGCATTCCATCAGGCACTGTGCCGCCCTCAAACCCTGCTCCTTCCTCTTATGCACTGAATGTCATGTGCTGCGTTCACAACTCAGCCAGCTCCCTTCTTCCTGCTAACAAGATGAGAGTCCCTCAAGAACTCACCCCACCCCCTCTATCTCACCCTCAGCCCACTCCGAAAGCCCTTTCTCAATAGCACTTAGAATCGCCCTAGACCTTGCTCCTATCATCTTACACCCTATCCTTGCCAGATGCCTAGCGCCCCCAGATTCCCTCAAATCTCATCGGGGCCCCCCAGTTCCTTCATATTTCTGAAATTCTGCACCCAGGTCCCTTCAGGGCCCTGATTCCCTCCCATCTCCCACATGCTGCACCCCGTTCCTCCTCAGGGCCCCCACATTACCTCATACCTCCCGAGATGCTGCCACCGCATATCTCTTCAGAGCCCCTCGCTCCCCTCCCCCAGCTCCATCTCCTCGGATCTCCTCAGCCCCACGAATCCCTCCCGAGCCTGCCCCTGGCAGCCCCACCCCCACCCTAGTCCTGCCCCTCAGATCCGGTCCCCAGACCCTGCCATTCGGGCGCGGCCGCTGCACGCCGGCACGTTCCCCTGACCGGCCGCTGAGCCACGGCCCACGACTTCGGCCGCGGTCCCTAGTCCCCAGCCCTCCTTCCCGCCCCCTACCTGACCGCCCGCAGCTCCGACGAGTCCACCGCCGCCAGCCCACCCGCCCGCCGTCCTCTGCGCACGCGCCATTGATTGCCCTTTGCCGGGCGCCAATTCGCAGAGTTCCCTGTCCGTCACTGAGCCCCGCCTCCCGAGGCATGCTGGGGCTTGTAGTGCAGCGGGCCCCAGCGCGCGGGGCCAGGCGGCCCTGCAGGGGTGAGCTTTCCTCTGAGAATCCGGGGCCTTAGCGACACGTAATCCAGTGTTCCGTCGCCTTTGTGCAGATGAAGAAACCGAGACCCATGGGCGAAAGGGACCTGCTCAAGTTCACTCAGTAAGTCAGGAGATAAGCAAGAATGGGTATCTGACTCCAGTCCAAATGTCTACCCTTTCACAAAACTGTAGCCTCCAGGGTAGTCCTCAACAAAGCGTTGGCACCTTGCTGAATCTGTTTTTCCATCTGAGAAATGGGCCAACGGAAGAATCAAACTTCCATTCTGGGGAGGTCGAGAACCGGGACTCCCTAGGAAGGGCAGTGCTTTGGCCCCATGTCCTGTGCTCTGATAGAGCGCTGCACTAGAGACAAGTTTATCCATGAACACATTGCTCTGTAAAGGAATGTTTTGCCTACTCAGCTGGGAGGCCGACAGCAGAGGCAGACATGGGGAGTACACGCTGCAGCCCCTGTCCCTGCAGGCTGAAGGTACCCGGGAATCCAAACCAAGTGTAGTTTTGGGGAGTCAGAGGTGAAGGTGGAGAAGTCTTACCAGTTGGGAGGTGACCTGGCCTGAGATTTGAGGGAATCTAGGGCACTAGGCATCTGGCAAGGACGAGGTCTGATACAGGACTGACTAGCCACGACCTGCACTCCCCGAAGTAGTTTGGGGCCAATCACCTATTCTCCAAGGTGATTATACTGTACAGCTTAGGAGCACAAAGGAGTTTGAAGTAGGATGGTCTTGGATTTGAAATTCCCCTTAGCTATGTGACCCTGCACAATGATAAAACAGTAACCAAAAACAATGACTAACATCTTTGAACACTTGCTGTCTGGCTACAGCTAAGGACTTCAGGTGCATAGCTCACTAAATCCTCATAAGGACCTCATGAGATAAGGCAGCTGATGGTTAACCTACACCTGTTGTGTAACCTAGGCGGTTACACAACAAGGCCACCTGTGCCTAAGTATTGGAGCCCAGATTTGTACCCAATTCTATCTGAGAACCCACTCTTAACCTTGTTTACTCTTTCTCCCCATTTTCTAAATTTCTAAGTGAAGTTTGCCAAGAAGATAAACCAAGATTATGGTAGTTTGTAC